CATTTTTTGTTTCCTAAAATACTATTTATTAGGTCTCTTTAATTGACTAACTTTTGAAGGAACGAAGATGGATAAAAAATTCAATAAGAAAGTTGTAGATCGGTCTGCACAACGTTCGATTAGACAGTTTCTCATATAACTTATATCTGTTAATTATTAGTGTTTTTTATGCTAACTACAAATGCCCGCGAAATACAAAAAAATCACAGCATATCAACGAGAAGAATGATGACGAGTGTGGCGAAGTGGACGGACGGGCGGTCGGACTGTCAGAAGGACGCACGGAAGCACGGACGGACTGGTGGACGCTTCGCCCCACTTATCGTCATTCATTCCGTGGATATGCTGCAACACCGTTTTTATTGACATGTAATGCAATGCAACTGGCTACTACGACTAGGATGATTACGACGACACGGGCCATACGACCCACGACGTATGTCCCGTGTCGACCCTTGGGTCGTCCCGTGACGACCCAAGGGGCTTTGCCCCTAAAAACTATGGACCATCTCCCCGAAGGGAACCCTGATAGGATGCGTAGCAGCAGCGGTGTGCATCGTGTTGACCTGGTCGGAACGGGCGTCGATGCGAATGGTGGACGAACGGTTTGAAGCGAAACTCGGTGTAGCCTTTACTATATAGTAAACGTTTCTTTGAAATGCAGACACGAGAGGGGGGACTTGTTGAAGACACTTGCACTCGGCTTCCTTGGCTCGCGTCTCGTCAGTGTTACCCGCACGCCGACTGTATTCCCTAACGCGATCGGTGTTCTTGACTCGGCACCTGAGGAACAGGACCAGATCCTGGATTGGGCCAAGAGAGTAGCGAAAACCTACGCTCGGTAGGCTCCTCTGACACTCCACCACCGCACCTCTTCCTCTAGGAATAAAGTTTTAAATTCGAAGCATTTCTTAGAGAACTTCAGTGACTTTGAGCGTATCTATCTATCTATCTATCTATCTATCTATCTATCTATCTATCTATCTATCTATCTATCTATCTATCTGTCTGTCTGTCTGTCTGTCTGTCTGTCTGTCTGTCTGTCTGTCTGTCTGTCTGTCTGTCTGTCTGTCCGCCTACGGCTTTAGCTCTCCTGGCCGTTTCGATAATGGTATCGATACTAAACTTGGTATGGCATAACATGATTGTATGAAGAACATATTTGACTAGCCATAACATGAAAATCATGACATATATGTAATGAGTGTCACGATTTACATTTCATGGTTCTGCAGCTCTTCCGGTGGTTTCGTTCAAATGGCATGTTGCAAAACTGGTATGGTACGGCATGATTGCATGGCGAACGTAAGGGACAGACCCAGCATGAAAATTATGACATGCGTGTCATGTAACAACATGACTACATGCCACGCTCATCATGCGGCCGCTTCGCTAGCGTCACATATACCAAATTTGGTATTACAGTACGAGAATGGATGACAAAGGTTTGCGACTAGTGCAAACATGATAATCATGAGCTGCGTGTCATGTAACAACATGTGTTCATGCCACGATCACGATGCGCTAGGGGCCATTTCGCTAGTTTTACTTATACCAAATTTGGTATTATGGGATGTGAAAGGATGACGAAGATATGATACTAGTACAACCATGATAAATATAAGATGCGTGTCATGCCAGAACACGACTACAAGCCACAGTCAAGACACGACGCGGTGCGCGTGCCCACCAGCGTTCGTTTCGTCGCGTCACGGTGGTGTTGCCATGCCTGGCGTTGGTCCTGCCATATACTCGCAGGCGCGCGATGCGCTGCTTTGACGCATGCGTGTGTCAGCGCATCCGGCGTCCCTCCGTGTCGAAAATATGGGACGCAGTGTTATCTGGATAACGCGCCGGCGCAAAATGCTGCATGTCACATTTCGCGCCGGTTGCCGTCGGGCCGCGCCGACGGACCCTGGTCGCACCTGGCGTCAGACTATAGAGTGCTCGCAATTTGCAATGTAGCGTGCGCGCGCGTCAACGCTACATTGGAGTATATTGGGCCCTGCATGATGCGCTCGCGGCCGTTTTGCTAGCTCCACATACACCAAATTTGTTGTCACGTGACGTCACTGGATGCAAAATATGTGACTGGTGCAAACATGATAATCTTGACAAGCGTGTCATGTAAAAAGATGACAACATACCACGCTCATGGCGTGCTCGCGGCCGTTTCGCTAGCTCCATATATATATTTGGTATCACGTGACGTGAATAAATGACGAAGGTAAACGACACATCCAAACATGATAATCATGATATGGAAGTCGTGTAGAGCATCATTTACCTCCACCTCGTAACTTTGCGCTGATTTTAAAGTGGCATGTCAACATTTCTCATTCGTGCTTGGGTGAAGGTGAAGCGAGGTAGAGCTGACACGCGGCGAGCACGCGACCGGAGAGGGAGAGAAACGTCACCGCGCACTGCTAGGAGGGCGTGACCTATTTGGCACTGCTCCAACATCTGCGGCGAGGGGAGCGGTGTGGACGGAGGAACAGCATTACACAATTCTGTCAAAGGGCTGCTTCGCATTAAAATACCACGTGACAAACCCACTCGCGCACCAGTGCGACCGATGATTCTAGTGCTTCCTAACGGTCTGCGTACGAATAACCATAGCATTTGCCCAACTATGCCATCTGGACAGGACCGCAACGATGGTGGTAGCTTTGTGATGAACACGTTTTGCAATAGGGCACAAAAGCAATAACCGGTGTGTCTGCTTATTGCTATCATGAACCGGTGCGAAGGAAGCGTGTTGTTCGTACGCGGAGCGTTAAGGCTGGTTCACGCTAGCAGCCCTAACGAGGGCCGCTAGTGCACCGGCGAGGCGTGCAAGCATGCCTCACCGTTTGACGTTTTCAGGCAACCGTGCGCAGCCGCGTCGTCTGGTCTGACCTACCTCTCCACATCGTTTGCGTCTGCCGCGGGACACTTCGAGCTGCTTGCTTCTTGCTGCGCGGTTTTCACAATATCTACGTGTTCAAACTACGTTCTAGCAGTGAATAGAGCATTTTCGCCTGTCCAGTATTTAAAGAAGCACACAGCTATTCAAAATGACGTCCCCAAAGCAGGCGTTTCGACAAGTGGCGCCAGCTAGTCAGGGTTAGCAAAAACAACAACAAAAAAAAAACCGTCTAATGTATGCCCTCCAAGATTTGGGAAGGCTTGCTTAGGCCTAGAACACCAATCATTTGAGCATTGTTCTCAAAAACGGTGCCGAATCGATTTGAGTATTGTGTTGTCGAAGCTAAAGGACTTGAGTCTAAAGTGAATGGAAGCATCAGTTCAGAGCTTACGCGCTACAGAGTGCACGGCGGTCACTTGATCGATTCGAGGCGGTCGACAACTCAATTCGGAGGGGCAGCCATGTTCTACGGACGGCGCCAGCCGCCGGTCTACGGCTTTGCACCGTTACGGCAGGCTTACTGCTAGCGTGAACCGGCCCTTAAAGTTCACCAGAATAGCGGCGCGTGTAGGTGCGCCAGACTGCCAGTAAATTTGTCACGTGGTATTTTTTTAAGCGAAGCTCCCTACGCCGTGGGTCGTATGTCCCGTGTCGTAGTAGCCACTGGGCCTCTCGTTTAGTCCTTAGAATGTCCGCTGGATGTCAGTACTTGGAGCGTTCACTAGATGTACGGACGGACAGAGGCACGAACGAACAGACAGACGCGCGGACGGACTGACGCTTCACCCCACTCATTATTCACTCCAAGGTTATGCTGCAATTTTTTTATTTCGCGGGCATTTGTAGTTAGCGGAAAGATACAATAATTAACAGAGACAAAGTTCGAAACGGTCTAGTTGGACATTTTTGAAACCGATCTGCTTGGTGTATGTCTCTTATAAAGGCGTTCAGTTTAATACCCAAAAGATTCATTTAGATATTATCTAGTACAATTAACATTTTTGAAAATGTGCCAGCACCACTCTTCACTTGGAACAGTGCATTCAAATTAAAATCTCTCGGGCAAAACACGCCAGTTTCGTTCGCACAATCCTTCGAAGACATCCTTAATACCCATGTCACCCGAGCACCTGAACGACCATTCAACCAATGGTCTATTGGCTCAATTGTCAAGGGCAAGGTTGATTGATATGCGAGGTTTAACGTCCCGAAACCACCATATGATTACGAGAATCACCGTAGTGGGTGTGAGGATAGTTATAGCGCGAGAACAAAACGACGACACAAGAGACCAGAAGGACACGAAAGACACGTGTCCTTGTCTCTGTATCGTCGTTTTGTTCTCGCGCTATAACTATCCTCAAGCCATACCAACTAGCCCAAGCTGCCACACTTCTTAGTGGGGGTCTCCGGAAATTTAGACCACCTGGAGTTTTTGAGCACAAGGACCCAAATTTCAGCACACAGGCCTGCAGAATTTAAAGGCAGTACATGAGAGTGTTGAAAATAATTCAATAAAGGATTTTTGCCACATGGAAAAGTACAAACTGCTCATGCTCTCGACAGCATGAACATGTTCGTCTTCATCTTGCCATATCATCATGTATCATTCAGCAGTTTTGCTGCTCAACAACGGTTAAATATGCATTTGTAACTATATATAAATCATTCATTAAAATATTTATACTTCAACAAATATACAAACGATTTAAAGTGAATTTTTATTATCTATGCGACTTCAATACGAAAACTAATGTCCGCAGCGCAACATAATTTTTGCGAGAAACACTTCAACCACTCAATGGTCATTCCAAACTGCCACGTAGTGGTGCGCCAACTACGTCCAAATAATTTCGGCGTATAGACGGCCATCAAATGGATGGCCTTTCGAAAGGGCCCTTGTGAAAGAGGTACATGCCATTCAGATGATACCAAGGTAGAAACTTTCCTCTGTTGTTGTCGTCACAGGAACCAATAACGATAGTCTGGGCAGTAAATATAGCAATGAGCATTTGAGATCAATTCGCGCTCCAGTGCCCATCTCAACATAGCCCTAAGGGATATGTGAGTAGACGACAAAATTTCAGTCATGTGCTCACCAAAACAAAAATATTTTATTGTTTATGTGTTACCCATACACTAAATCTCAACAAAAAAAGGGAGTAGACATAAAAAAGTACAAACAATGTTGGTCTAATAAGTTAGTTACATCACACACACATGAGAGAAATGTGAAGGCCTGTGAGAATCGCATTGAACCTTGCACCAGAAAAGAATGCCTAAATTCAGTACTGATTATTCCCGAGAGCAGCTCACGGCACTTCCACAAGAGATCCTGTTCGAAGGAGACTAAAAGGGAAGCAAAATGCCCATTCCCAGAAAAAAAAATTGGCGCCCACTTTTTTTTAAATCTCTTTTTGTGCCTCATTCAATTGACGCTAAAAAGGCACCAAATTACTACACGTGCATCAGCCAGCACTAAGCAGTAACTCCTGAGAGTCTACACTGTACAGCACACAGTAAAGAAATTGAACTTTTAAAAGCGTCAAAAACTCCGGGTGAATGCGTTAACACTCGGCGATTCTTAACACGAACCGAAAGCCCAACCAGAAGCACTAACATTTCCAGAAAACTTTTTTTAAGGGTGCCACTCTGTTTTAACAACTGACTCTGCGTGTGTGAAGTGGTGGACTTCTCTAAATAAACACGCCGTTTACGCAACGCTTTACTTTGTTCACCTGTCTAGATGGCTTTTTTTTTTGCATTTTCCATCCGCTCTAACGCAGTTTACTTATAAATCATTGTGTTCTTGCAGCACCAACATAACAAAACACACAAGGCTTAGAACCGCCGTACTGGTTCACGTCGAAGACCTGCAGCTAGGCGCCTGATTCGGCTTGCAAGCAAGGAGCTCGAAATGGCAGACGCCATTCATACAACCAAACCCGACCAAGACTGTCGCTGCTGCTAACACAGCACCGCAATCTCTTCTGCACGACTACAGCATCGCCAGCCTTGATGGGGAAGGGGCACTGGGGTCGCATGCCAGCTGTGTAATACCAAGTCTGCAAAGTCTGTTTCCCCCGGTTTAAGATTGTCGCACTGTTGATGTTTTTTTTTTTTCCCGGACTGCAATGCTGGAGAGATCTGATTCAGGCAAGGTAGCAAACATGTTTTGCAAACGCCCTTGCACTGTACCACTTCACTGCTTTCCAAAAGATGCAGCCAGCAACCAATTCCCAAGGTGTGCAACAGCATTCTTTGGAAAATGCATACGAACACACCGACCCACACGGGGCGGTCACCTGGACGATTCACCGGTCGGCGACCACTCGGGAGCGCTTGCGTATAAAAAATACTAAAGATGTCAACGTTTACTCTTGAAACACCATTCGTACAGTCAAAAAGCAGCTTCTCAGCTGTACACAACACGCAAGTTTTTTTTTCTTCTGAAAGTAAACAAAAAGATGTAGTGAACATTGTACGATAATCTTTTTTTATACCCCTGCTGGAGAGAGAGCAACAAATATCGGTGGTGAGCCTAAGCCAGCCCCCGGCCCCAATTAATGGCTCGAGAGTGCAGACTGCTATAAAACGTGGGGTGTGGTCTTCGTGGGGCTTTGATACGATGAACATAAAAGGGAGAAGAAACCGATGAGTGCAACTCAGTTCTGTACATCACTGGGGAAAAGGGGCACATGGGACAGACAACGACACAATCACTTTACTGGAAAACACACAAAGATGATGAAAAATTCACACCATGGAACTCTTGGTAGAAAAACTGCATTAACGTCAATATGGAGTCACACGATGGCCTGCAGCCCGTTAACAAAGAACTTAAAACTACTGCCGCAGCAGCATTCAAAATGATGAGGAACAAATAAATAACAGCTCTGAACAAGTGTTGAGCACGTCTGCTAGAAACAGAAAAGATGCAGTGACAGACGAGACAGAGAGAAGGCGACAAACAGTAGTGAGAGAAAACATGCAACCTGCAGCAACTAGTCAGAGAAACAGCAGCCGAGACAAAAAACGCAAGTTGAAAAACTTGACGGGAATGTACGGGCATCCACACGAAAGACGGCCGGACAACACGAACAGCACACAACTCGCACAACTGCTGCCCTACGTTTAAAAAAATATCGGGGGGTGAGCAGGACAGAGCAATGAAACCACATTGCTTTTCTTTTTCCTCTTCTTAGCACTGAAGCCTTCTTTGACCTTGTATGCAATGAAAGTGGCACTTGACTAGGCACGTACAACCGGAGCCAGCGGCAAGGCAAGGCAGCACACACCGTACCGCCTGGCCCCACAAGGCTTAAAAAAAAATAACTCCAAGGCCAAAGTTGCACGCTGCGACCGGGCTGTCCTGCAACATGAAATGCAGTGGAGAGAAGTGCCAATGCCAACTTCCAATGCAACCACTGCCCTCTGATCTGGACGCCAGCCTGTCCGCCAATGCTTGGCAAAGCCAACGAACACTGCGCATCTACAGGGCTGCTGTGGAGGCATCCTCTTGGGCTTTGTGTAGCAGTCAAAAAAGAGGCTCCACGAACATGGGCTCATTGTCGGTGCACTGTCCTAGAAAATTAGCGGTTGGGATGCCAGTGTAACATACGCCTGGTAGCATCGTCTGTGCATGGTGTGCCTAGAGACTAAGAAATGGCACCTACCTATGAGAGGGGAAGTCTGTCTTTTTTTTGCAAGAGAGCGAGGTGAGCAAGTGAAACACCTTCGTAAGAGAGCCTCCGAGACACCCCGTCAATGGCGATGGGTGTTGAGAAAAACAGAACACCTGAAGCAACCACCCTCATCCCAAACAGCCCTCCACACTGCAATGATAAATGCACGTTCACACAAAACGGTTTCAACATTTTTCTTTCCACATACACGGTATAAATATATGCATGCATGCACACACGTATATACTTTCATATATGTATATGCCGTGAACATGGAGATAATATATTAAGAACGAGAAACTTCATCTCATGTTTTTTTTTTCCTCTTTAAATAATAAACCTTCCAAAAATGTCAACGCAAAACAAAACACGCGCATACGAAACAAAAAATGCAAATGAAACTGTGTAACTGCCGTAAAGACATGTGGTTTTGTACTATTAAAAACCTTAAACTCTTTCGACAAGTTGGCATCGTAAACTGGAATATGGAATATGCAATCAACTGTGTTCCTTGACGAACCTAACTGGATAAAATGTTAACGAACCTTGTGGCTTGGTCTAGAGCGATAAGATTCACTCCCAGAAAAAATCTGCAGCACACAAACAGCGTGAGACGGTGCACAGAAGGTCTGATCATGTTCTCTTGATGGTATATTGCTCCAGCCAGTTCCCTCATCCGAAAAGACTAAGCAATGGTGGCGATTTGGTAATTAAGCTTTCTCAAAAGCCTTGGAAGCCCTAGGAGCACAGCAATGACAAGCACTCAAGATTGCGAAGGAGGAGAACGAAAAAGTGGTAGCGTTTGTGGAAACAACTCCGGAATGTAATGGCACCAGAGACCGCTGAATTAGAACTGTCAGAAACAAGAAGAGTAAGGAGATCACATAATGAAAAGTGCACACGAAACAATTATGTGGCATAGAGAATAAATGAATAAAAGCCAATCAAGCACTGCATGAAGGCACATGCATGTTTGCCAAAGCATGTATGAGCGTAGCTAAACAAATGATGCTTCCAAACGACAAACCGCGATATTCAATGGTGGCCACTACAGAAGAAAAATGCGTGGTCATTCAGCTTCGTCTACCCATGCATACTTGCATAGTCTGGAAGGAAGAAAATGGATCGGGGTTTTTTTTTTAGAGCTCTGCTAGGGAAGCCAGGCGACCCAAGAACACACCAGGCCTTTCTTCACACCTCAGCTAGCAACAAACGATGTAGTGGATATGTATAGATGGGGTGGGAGCAGGGGATGGGGCGAAGGGTTGTGGATGGGGGAGTACCTCAGCCGATGTTCAAGGCCATCACCACATCAGACACATGTACAACCACACACACAAATACAGGCACACACTTGTACAGACAACCAGAGGGCACATTGAAACGACAACTTGCACTCGCAAACATTGCCTACACGACCCAAGCCAAGTAGCACAGCTTGAGAAGAAAAAAAAAGAGACATGAGCGCTTCTGTCCACAGCAGTGTGGATGCGGCTAGGAAAAAGCCCGCAGCCTTCATTGCATGCAACGCATCGTCAGACCCTGCGTGAAAAGCGAAGAACCAACAGTTTCCTTCTAACAGAAGCAAGAGATTCTCAGAAAACGTGTGCCACTGCAAAACGTGTTTGCATGCTTTGCTTGCCCATGCTGGCATTCACTCACTTATTGCTGAAACAACAAAAATAGTTTATTCAACAGAATACTTCGTGTTTGTGTGCTTGGTGAATCACAACTGCAAAATTCTGTCATGTAGAGAAATGAGTTATATAGGAGCAAACAACATAGCGTTCACATCTGCTGCCGACGAGCCAAAAATGCACACTGCTGTGAGGCGGTCGTCGAAACCTTGAGCATTGCGCGTCGCACCTTCCACTTTTTTTTTCACATGCCAAGTAACGTCATGCACTATGTGGCCCACTATGCCAGGCCTGCACGCAAGACCAAGCAATACATGTGCGTTCAATTATACACAATACATCAGACGAAAAATAAAAATACAACAAAGCATACAGGCATGAAGTGTTCCTGCACAGCCACTTCTAGAAGACATTCAGGTTGTGTAGTGCAAACTATACCAATGGCAGTAACATGTAAATGCATAAGACGAAAAAAAAAGGAAAACCACTGAACACACGAAAAGAGAAGCAGTAATGTGCCAACAGCAAGAAAAGCGTTGCTCCCTAAATATAAAAACAGAATGGCGCAATCTAAAACTTCCTTTTAAACAACACAAACTAAAGTAACAAAAAAACTTAACTCTTATAAAAAGCTCCAGACCAGACAGCAAGGACAACATTCTTGGCCTTCGCGTTTCATTACTCTGTTTGGTTTGGCGGGTTCTCCCACATGCAGTAGTGAAATCGGTAACGGTCATACACAATTTATAAGACCTCGAGTGAACGAAGCTTGGACAGGGAAACTCCTCAGACGACGGCAGCCCCCAATGACTAGCCGCAGAAAGGAAAACTGAGCCCGAGGAACGTACTACATTCTTTAGAAGGAATTCAAAACCCTTAACGTGGTAAAATTTTTGCCCCACGTTCAACAAGCTACGATCAACCCCTAGACCCACCTGCGAGAATTGTCAACTGCAGCTGCTACGAGAATCACGTCAAAGTAATTGGAGAAGGCGCTGCCGCCTCTGGCTACAACTGCCAGGGACCGCAACCTAGGGGACGATGGCAGTATTAACTGTTCAACAACACGGGGGGCAGAAGAGGATAAGGAAAGATCTCCTGGGACTATTGGTGTAAGCTCCCCACCCCCTAACCCTAAACACATTGACAGAAGTTTTTTCACAGGTCACGCTAATAAAACAAACAGAGAAGAGGGGATTGGGAAGGAGAAACCCCATACACCAGCTTTAGGGAGATGGGGAGCACAACGACAACACTTGGCACAACTGCCTTCACATGCGAGCATTCCAAGCTCCACAGAATTACTCAAATACGTTCAGGTAACAAACCCAATGCCAGACACCACATGGCTCATCAGGGCGACAGAAAAAAAAAATGACAGGATTAAAACCTGAGAGGGAGTAAAATGAAGAGTGATAGCGCTTATGACTGGCCCCTCTATGCACATGCCGGCATCAAACCAATCACAGCTGCCTCAAGAAGCTGGTTGATGACAGAACTGGCTTAAAATATGGCAGTGCAAACTACCCCCCCCCTCCCCCCAAACTTCCTTCATAGATGCCTGCCTAGGACAACATCTCTTTGGCATGACTATTGTCTACCTCTTGTTCTTCTGCAGCCTTCCTTAAATTACCGTGTGTACATGAATGTGTGTATGTGTGTGTGATCTGTGGGCTCCTAAAACACATTACTTTTTTTTTTCTTCGCTGCACCATTCACGATTTATGACTAGGACCATACACAAAAAGCTTGTAACCTCAAAAGCTCTCCTAGGCAACCCAAACAAACAAGATCTAACAGAGAGAGCATATAATAAACATTGAAAACAAAATACTAAAAAGGGGAAGGGGGTGGAAGGAAAAAGAAGCCAACCAAACAAAGAATGCAATAAACAGCAAACAGACTTAACCGGACACAATACTAAATAAAGGGGAAGCTTCAAACGAAAAGTAATAATATATCGGTTGAGGAAATCCCACAAACCAAACAGATAAAAAAATCAGAAAATGTAAAAAAAAGAAAAGGAAACAACACTACAACAACTATGCTACTTAACATAACAAGAGCCTCTGTGTGTAGATTATACATGGTTTAAATAAACAATGAAACCATATGCACTAAAACCCCAAATAACTTAAGTAGATCAGATCAAAGAAAAAAAAAAAACATGACACAGGCCACAACACAAGTGACAGCAAGCCTGTCGTAAAGAAAAAAAAAATAGTCATGTTTAAAAGGAACAGCAGTGGTGGTGCCTTCTTGATAAAAACTGCCAATCACTGGCTAAACATTGTAAAGTCCTTCACAGACCATGACAAGAGAAAAAAAAATAATCGGGGAGGGGGAGAGAACACTGGCTTTGTCTCCCTCTTTAACGATGCACCTCTTGCTCTCATTAAAAAAAAAGCTATACACATCGTTCTCACCATTACAAAACCACTAAAAAAAGAAAAATGTAAAAGGGCAAGAGGCATGCGAAGAAATGAGGTCATATGATGGTGACAAAAATGTAACGAGAAAGGAGTGTGTGTGAGAGAGAGAGAGAAAGCCTGTGCAAACAAGGCGCGGCAACAAATATGGCCCCAAACTCGCCCATCAGAGACAGCCTCCGCTGCCGCCACTGCCCCCCGAGCCTGGAGGCGCAGATGACGACGCGGGAAGCTGCACGTAGCGGTAGACATACAGCCGGTAGTCCTTGCTCGCCAGCACCACAGAGCCGTCATCCATGAGAGCCACATCGAAGCACTGCGCATGCTTGACTTTGGACTCGAGAGCGTTCACGAGCTGCCCGTCCTGGGTGAACACAGTCACGTTGAAGTTGTTGTGGTTGTCCGCCACCAGGATCTCGCCCCCCTGGTTCATGCAGACCCCAATGGGATAGTTTGTCAAGCCCTCTCCACCGATCTGCCGCAGGAACACCCCGTCGTAGTTGAACACCTTGACGCAGTGCGCCCGGTTGTCAGAGATGAAGATCTCTTGTCGGTCGTTGACTACCACGCCGTTGGGGAACTCGAGGTGCTTGGAGCAGCCAAACTTCTGCAGCACATTGCCACTCTGGTCGAAGATGATGACCCGCATCACCTTGCACTCGACCACGACAACGCGGCCCTTCGGGTCCACTGCAACGCCGCGCGGGTGCTGCAGAATTACGGCACCAAACTTGCGCACAAACTGCCCGTACTGGTTGTAAATCTGAATCTGGTGCGTTGGCGAGCGCTCTGTCACCACGATGTCCCCGGACTGGCGAACCACGGCCACTCGGTTTGGGTAGAGAAGCTGTCCGTCGCGCTTCCCACACTCGCCAAATTGGAACTTGAAGCGACCTTCCCTGTCAAAGATCTGGATGCGGTGGTTGTTTGTGTCAGCCACAACAATGTCATTCTGTGCGTTCACAGCCACGCCTGAGGGCTCCGTGAACTGGCCCTCCATGACTCCAAACTCACCAAACTTGCAGTGATAAATCATCTTTTGCCGCTTGATCTGCGACTTGAGCGGATACAGCCCTACTCCTGTGCTGGCTAGGTACTTAGACGACAGTTCGGCCAAGGCATTTTGAGGTGGAGGCGCCGGAGCATCTTGGGGAGCGCCGAAGTCCGAGCCATTGTGGAAAATGTCAGCACCTCCACTGGACCACTTCTCGTATGGGCTGACGTCGGCAAGACTGGTCGAGAATGGTCCGAGACTGTTGGCTGAACTAAATCTCTTTGACAGGAGGTTGGACTCAAAAGGAGATGTTGGAGGTGGTGGTGGATGATGTCCATTCTGGTGCAGGGTGGAACTACGCTCAGCTGGGCCAAGGACCACACCATTGGGCCGAGCAATGGGTGGCTGCCGTGGGGCCCCCTCAGGTGCTCCACCTTGCTTGATGTAGCCAAAAGTGTTGCGCACGCCCACTTGGATTGCCTGGTAGTTGGATACAAATTCAAGGTCCATGCCGTGGAGCCCTGCCTCCGGCCGAAACGACAAAAATCCCTGGAACTTCGTCTCCAGTAACTGCTTGAAGACTAGAGCCTCGGTGCTCGTAGAAAAGCGAGTCAGCCGCTCAACGAAGGCACACACCTGGTGGATCCTTTCAATGGTCTCTTGAACCTGAGAAGGAGGACGCAGGGAATAGCATAATTTGTAGTGAAAAAGCAACCACTTTTCATTCTTGTTTAACACTGCTACTAAAAACAGTGTGCGCAACAGCAAACTTCTCAAACAAGAAATTGCAGTTCGAACCTGCTTGTCAGGTCAGCCAGGTACTACTTTCACGAGTCTGTCCAGCTAAATGCATTTGTGCTGAAGTGCACACCTCTGTACTGTCTAATATCATTTCTGAGATTTCTAGAGACTTCACAAGTTAAACACTGAGCACACACCAGTGCAACCTTATTTGCAGGCAAGAAGCATCACCAAACACTTGTTGACTCCAAGCAGGTCATACCTAGTAGGTCCCTAAAAGCAAAGATTTTGTGTAGGTCCCTAAAAGCAAAGAGAACATCTAACAGGACGTTACGCGCTAGAACGTCTTAATAATGTTGAAGCCAATGTAAAACCAATGAGACACCTTAGTACTAGCCCAACAGCATAGTATGTGCTCACAACAATTTAATCAGTATTAATAATACCAATAATAATATTGTAGTGCATTAGTATACAGAATAAAGCCAGTAAAGCATGTTGAATGTTACCTCACAAGCCCATTCATGAAGGTAGAAGGTCTAAATAGTACAAACAGCATGCAGACAACTAAAACAGTTCTTTTTAAACCAAGCATTTCTTTAGCATTCAACAAACACTACAATGTTTCTGGAACATCATTCAATAATCCACATCCACTTTGTATTTGTCCTTAGTGTCATTCTAACCTGCAATGATCTGGTATATACGTACTGCAACGATCTGGTATATACATAGTACCGTGGTGCTGCCTTAAAACTGCTCTTCAAAAAAAAAATCACTTCACAAAAACAATGGAATTGACACCATACAAGCAATGCCATCAGCCATGGTTCTGCAGCGAAGTCGCCAAAATCTTTCAAGATGTAATGCATTCACCAAAAAGACTGCCACAATTGCAATCGTTTTTATTTGACATCAGAGAGTAAAAAATGCATATAAAGTGCAAGTTTTTAAAATTTTGCTGTCACTGCAATGCAAACATTGCAGTTAAACATGAATGCCATGGACCCTTAGTTAACAAATTCTAGATTTAACAAATATTTTAAGTTTCTGAGCTCCATCCCTACAAATGTCCATGTAAGCGAATGCTCCACGCTCATCATCTAAACTTTAAGCAATTGCAAAAAAAAAGGGCAAGTGACAATCGTGAGGGGTGTGCAACCACAGTGAGCCAGAGCACTCTAGCTGGTGTGCCGTGACGATGATTATGAAAGACACTAGCTCTCCCAACACAGCTCTCTGGCAGGTCGAAGACTTCACTTGCACATTGCGAGATCAGTTGTCACTTATGCGTACCCGATTCTGTGTTTCTTTTTTTTTTAAGGCTTGTGCGCGTTTTACGATTGTCGCATCAAGTGGAAGTAGACACTATGCGAGCCCTAATAATGAATGTTAAAGGGAAACTAAAGATCAAAACGATGTCTTTACGCATTATACTCGGGCACAGCTCTCTGTAGCAATGCAGTCGTGGCTACAGAGCCGAACCATGCCGTTTCATCAGTGCTGCTGCAGAACTACTAGTAGTTCCACAAAAAAAAAAAATCTCTTTGTGTATAACTTAACCATTTAAAAATGTGCAGTAATATATTTTAGCTGCTATTTGATAATGCCAGAAAATTATTGTGATGTTACGTGAAATACAGTTATATTTAAGATTTTCCGAGCGTTTTTTTAGTTGTGCATTCCCCACTGCCATCGCATTGGCTCTATTACTTCATCTCATAAGAAAAAAAAATATGGCCTCGGCGTTGCCAACGCCTTCACCGATTCACTCGCCACACAGTATATTCAAGAAGCTTGTGCGCCAAAAGCTGTCGAAAAACTAAGCAATTGGTTGGCAACGTGGATGCCCAAGTGAGACTGATGCAACCTGAACGCTCAGTCACTTAGTGTAACGTTTGGTTAGCCAGCTTACCGGTGTCAGCGAGCGTACTGTCGGAAGGCTCAAGGTAGATAGATGTTTCAAAGGGTACCTTGAAGTCCCTGAAGCGTAAAACGGTTCGTTTCACAGCTGAATCACTAACAAGAATTACTGGAAAGACCAGAGTGCAGTGCTATGATAGTTTTAATGAAGGAGACTGAAATTGGCAGCAGTTGGGATTGAGAACATCATTCATGGATTCGGCAGCGGCGCGAGATAGCCTCTATACGTTTTCTGAGTAACGGAGCGTTAGGGCAGTGGGCCACCGATGCCTTTAGTGCCGGCGTAATTCAACGCGATCCAAACTGAATTTCACTTTACACCACAGGAGGTGCAAGCTGCCCTTCGGTATACCATGCCTATACTATGTAAGCACACTACATAGGTCACTTTTCACCTATAGATGAGTTTACGTACCAGTGCGTGCCCTAAAAACTGCAACGTTGAAAATATTCACGTCACTTCCGGGCGACACAGAATGAAACGGGTAAACTAAGTGCAGGGAACGAAACGCCAATATGTCTGCCTGCTCGGCAATCGTGGTTCAATGCAACTAACCAAGGAGCAGATGCGAAGAAATGAACTAGAGGAAATACGCACATGTCACATCGAAACTGACACTGAAAAAAAGTTCACCGAGGACTACTTAGGCGCAGTAACAGAACAGTTAGCTCCGTTCCCGTAGCTTCCCTTTCATTGCCACAGAAAGTTGTCTCAAAGTATCGTAAAGTACAATTTCACAATGCCGAAAATACCACTCTTACAGCTTGGTAAGCAAAAAAACCTGCAAGATGCCACCCCCTGATTTATGCATTCAACACCATGGTATCATAAAATTTGAAGGAGTTTACTGAATCCTGCATAGCTTCCAATCGGTAAAATTGAAGTACATTGTTATCTGTGGGTGCCATATACCTAACACCCGAATTTTCAAAAAATTTCATCAAGCCAATTTTGTGAAACATGAAACACATGCACAAATTTCTAACGATGCACCGAAAGATTTCGGCACGAAATTTAAAAATTAGACTTCAACCTTCATTTTCTCCGCCATTAATGAACGTATGACAGTGAAACTCGTGGCATTAGAGTTTTGAGAGTGCAGCTTATCAATTTAAACCAAGTCATTGTTCCTCTTTAGTGCTTCTTTAACGTCAGCAGTATGTATTGCACGATTGTCAGTTCAGTGTTTGTTCACTTTAAAAATGAGTTTGTTGAGAAGGCGTAAAGTTTTGTCTTTCAAGGATAATCTGTCAATCATCAATGCAGATGCCACTGGTGAGAAGAAGGAGGATGCCGCTGCACAATCCAACACTTCGGCCAGCAACCAGTCAAGCATCTTGAGAGCGAAAAACAGCATCCGCAATGCAATAGAGTCTGGCAAAAAGCTTGAAGAAAAAAAAAGGAAGGTCTACTCGTGCTGATATGGACAAGTCATACTTCTGTTGTTTAAAACACGTTCTCGAAATGTGCCCATAAGCGGCACAATTTTATGTACAACAAAAAGCGAAAGATTTTGCTTGTATTATAGGCCATGACAACTTCAAAGCAACCAATGACTAGCTGCAAAGACTTTAAAAGCCAAAACTGAGTCGTCAGGAGATCTTTAGCAGTGAGCCGGCATGTGCTGACATCAATGCTTGTGCATGGCTGAGAAGCCCCCTAGCATTTTGAGGAAGAAAGTGGGACCGGCGACGACGATGAACGAAGTGTGTCAATAAATGCATTTTTCGATTTTACTCTGGCTATGTTCAGGTCAAAACTTTTTTCAGATTTGCTATCCCCAATTTACACTTCGGACTATATATGTGGATAAGAGGTATATGTCAGCTTTTAGGGTATTTTAGAATTTCGGTTTGTGCGATACTACCATCATTAAAGGCAAATACAATATCCAATGTTGCAATCCTTAAGACCCTGAACCTAAACAAAGACAGCGAAGGCTCTGTGGCTCAATTCCCATAAACTCAACACTTACACCAGGCTATTCTCACGCGCTATTCAGTACAATTTCATCACAAATAGCAGTCATGTTCATTAGGGCATACACGTTGCCTCCATGCGTGTGATTCGCCTTGAAGGAAACTGAAAAGGCAGAGAGGTTCGAGAATGAAGAGCTTGCTAGTTAAGCGTTCTTCGTCCGAGTATATAACTGGCATTTATTCATATCCACAAGAAAAGGGTATGGGCTGCCGCAAAATTTACACTTGCTGAAGACCTTTCTCACCTCTAGCATCTAAACTTATAACCGCAGTGTGCAAACAGATACGCTCTGAAGATGAAGTGCGACTATTAAGGGGGGACCCGGCTTTTCAAGCCGAAAATCTGCCCAAAAATCGAATTTTCATTCTCTTAATTTTCGTGTTCCTGACGCGTTTCCGCACCTTTCTACAAAATTTGATTCCCAAATTCTGCATATTTTTCCTGTTATCAAGATCTAAAGATGCGGTTTTACGAGCGTTTCTCTCTAAAATGTGCAAAAATACCCTGCATTTTGATCGCGCGCCGCTTGGCAACGGTACGCTCCATCGGCGCCATTTTGGTGTTGTTCAATAGCTTGCGTTTCAGACTTTTTTTTTTATCCTTTGGCAACCCTGTGCGTCCCTGAGAAACGAGAAAAAAGCACCCGCAAAAAAGAGCTTTCACGCGTTGCCATTGGTCAAATGAGGCACGTGATCAGGATTCTGTCCTCTGATTGGCCTAAGTGCCGCCATCGTGCGCCGCCATTTTGACTCGGACAGCGTGTGCCTACCGCCGTTGTGCTCGATTCGCCGCTCTGTGGATTGCTCGCTTGATCGGCGCACGAAGTTTATCATGCCTGGCGGTGCGAAAAAGTTCCATACGCGCCACCACTTTGGGCGTAAACGACGAAGGGGAAAAGTGCGTGCAAAGGACCCGGCATCGTCGCAGACAGCCGTTCATGGAGCATCGCCTGGCCATGCCACGGACGCCGGCGGTTCATCGGCGCCAGCCTTGCAATGCCATAATGCTTTCGCAACCCACG